AGATTTTGGCCATTTGTATGGTAGATAGCCACCACACTGTGCAATATCATTTATTAATCAATTAATTGCGAGAGCAGTCATTTCTTGTTCTCTCTGTCATTTCGTATATGCTGTGCTCTCTCTCTCTCTCCCCGATTAGGGTAGAGCAGTGTGTGGTGTATACGGCACGCTCTGCTCTGTCAAAAGTGACGGCGGGGTTAGCAGCTGCTACAAATTTTATTCACAAGTATACACAATTACAATTTTTTTCTTTCGTTTTGAAATGTTCCAGCCCAGTGGAGGAAAATGGGAAAATCTAAGCCATCATCCTCTGGAGTGGACAACAAAAAGAATGCCATGGAAATGTTGTCTCTGTTTTTCCAAGTATCAAACTGTAGTAAAATTTAGGAGATTTTGCTTTTTGCCTCATCTAAAGATGCAACAAAAAACTAGGTGTTTCTTCAACACATTCATTTACTATTACTACTCCCCCACCCTAAATCCAGCAAACCCCATTTGGTGGAAATTCATACACATTTTTCTTTTTGGTGTTTTTGTTTCGCCCCTTTTTTTCGAAGAATTTGAAGGGAGGTGTAGTTGGTTGGTTAATGGCCACAGGATTCAAATGTATCAGTTTTCTTTAAACACTTGATATTTTTTCTTATTTTTTCATTATTTTTCAAAATAGTATTTCACTTTTTTTTCGTTTCGTTTTTTCTTTTGAATTTTTCCAAAACTCAATATGTATATCATCGATGGATATATGAAAGGGCACACTACTGGAGGAGGGGTATCAGTTTTAATGAACACACACAGCACAACAGCACCACACAGCAGCTCCTTTTTTGCAGTATGCTAACACTAGTTTTTTTCTTTTCATTTGGTTTTTTTTTTCATCCACTGCTTGTGCCCATAGAATAAGAACTTTTTTTCTCATTTATGTATGTTTTTCCACTTGTCGTTTGTATGAAACTCGTTGTGTTTTCATTTATTGCATTTACCACTTTTCAAAATATTGCACACTTTTTGTGGGATTTCGGTTAAATTCAACTTTTTTGTTGTATTTTGTGCGAAATTTAACTAATATTTCTCCGTTCGACCCGCAAAACTAACTTTTTCTACCTCTTGGCAGGGTTGATAGAAATGTAGCCAAAATACGACACCCTTTACAGTTGTATGCCGGCGGTAGTGGCATTTTTTCCGGCCAGTGTTGTATAGAGAGCGGCACATTTGTGCTGTCATGTGTAGTTGGGGTGTGTGTGCAAAACGTAACGGCAAAAGAGATTTAAAAAACGAAACAAAATACACAGTGAGAGTGATCTCTTTGGTAGAGAGAAAGATGAATAGCCTTAATAAATACATATATTTTTAATAATAATTATATATAAAATAAAAATAATAAATTTTTTTGTTATTTTTTTATATAACAAATGAGTTAAAATGTAATAAAAATGAAAATTCATTGAAATACACAGTAAATAATGTTATAGAAAATACCCATTGATTATTGACAAACAAAAGAGAGAGAGAGATGTGTGACATAAACCTATTATAAGGTTAAGTTATTAAAGCAAATATATAATATATCCCTTTTGTGGCATTTTAATAAATAATACAATAACTATAAATATATTTTTATTACGAAAAACGTTAACATTTAATAAAAAAAATTAATACATTATATTTTACTGCAAAGACTCTTAAAGAGAAGACAATTTTTTTAGTTTGCAAAAATTATAATTTAAAAAGAAATTAAATCTATTATATTTTCTACAAAAAAGGTTACAGAGAGCTTTCTTTGATTTCCCTGATTTATGACAGACAAGCGAGCGAGAGAGAGAGAGAGAATCAGCAACAAATTTTAAAAAGAAGAGTCATCTATTAGTTTCTTATAACTGACATGCAAAACAGAGAGAGGCGAATAATTAGTCGTGTGCTATTAAAATATTAACAGGATGATTTTTCAATGAAAATTAATTGATCTTCTGGCCGCAAATATAAACAGATTTATTAAATTAATTTAAACTTATACAATTATATAAGGAACACTTAATATAAACAAAATATATATTTAGGAACTTATTTTTTTTTTTGTTATTTTATTTTTTTTAATCATTTGAAAGTGATCCAGCGTGCTGTGTGAATGACTGAAGCTAATGGTCAATGACATTATTGTACCATACCAATGCGGCTTCAGGCCTGGCAAACCATTGACCAGATTTTAACTCTGCGCCAAATCCTGGAAAAAACCCACGAAAAACACATTCCACCTATTCGTCGACTAAAGCCGCATTCGACCTTGATTATCTAAATTTTGCAATGAAAAGGAAAGCCAGGAGAAGAATATATCCTACCGCCATAAATAAAGCCATCACCATTATGCGACAACTCAAAAGCAAGGCCGAATTTCGCCCGTGCTGTTATATGAATCTGAAGCATGGGTACTTGAGCAAACAGATGAGACAGCTCTTGAAGTGTTTGAGAGACAAATTCTCCGAAAGATCTATGGGCCGATCTGCGTTGATGGTGAATATCGCCGTCGAATGAACCATGAGCTTACCATATATTCTCGGACAGACGGATCGAGCTGCAACGACGTTGGATAGGCCATCTTGTGAGAATGAATGAAGATGCCCCAGCTCAAAAGGCATATAAAAGCGAGCCAAGTGATGGTTCACGCAGAATGGGAAGGCCACCATCTTGTGGTCTTTCAATTTGAGAATGGATGCGCCTGGAAATTTTTTTAAGTCATAAGCTGTCATAAGCTAATGTAAGTATTGGTATTGTATACGTTGATCTATTTATTTTATAAGAAAAACTATATACCAATTTTCCCTCTCAAAATGCGTGTTCTTCTTCTATAATTGAACATTAATAAGGCGAACTTCTAGGAAGGCCTGTTTGTCTTCTATGGGAATGTTTTTAGTCCTATCGTTGACGACATATTGCCAATAAGGAATTCGAGATGATATTCTATGATTATATTCTTATATGATATAGTGTTCCTCTATTTGGCGATATGTTTTATATTTTTGGAAATTAAAGCTATTGGTTTGCTATTAGAAAACCTCTTAATCGCCTATGGTTTTCTGTGAGGCATTCTAGGAGATTTGCAATATATTTCGTATTCTACAAGATGAGAAGGAAGATATAAGTTTTAAATATTCAGAAACCATTTTATTTATTTTTCGAGAACCTTCCATTCAATCAATTAAAATGATTAATTTTCTAAATAAGGAACAAACTTTTTTTCCATCGAAACCCCCCAAAAATAATGAATTGTTAACAATTATTTTTCCAAAAAGATGTTTATTTCTTGTTGTTGTTGTTGGTTTTTTGTTGTAAATTTTACATTTAATTTACACTAAAAATTGTTAATAATATGGTGTTCGATATAATGTTATAATTATTATTATTAATTAGTATTTATCATTATTAATTGTTTTTCATTATATGGTATTACTTAATAATGCACCTTAAGACAAAAAAAAGCTTCATACTAATTATTATTGATTTGTTTTGTTTTTATTTATTAAGAATATTTTTTTGTTTGTTGGTAGTTTTTTTATTTATTGATTAAATGAACAACACACTTTGATTAAATAGATTTGTTTTTTGGGGGACATTTTTTGTTTTCAAATATATATATATATTTAGTTTTGTTTTATCTCAAATAAAATTAAAATTTGTTGTTGTTGTTGGTATATAATATACTTTCCATACTCTAATGATTCTTGTTTGCATAATTTTGTTTTTGTTTTCATTCTTCGTACTTATATTCTAATATCTCTGTAATTGTTTCACTTTTTTTGCTTTCGTGTATTTGTTTTTTTTTATTAATTTAAGGAGCTTTCAAACATAACCTAAGAATTATTACAATTTTGCATTTAGCATTACATACTTCTTTTTTTTCTTTCTTGTTGCTCGACTTACTTGCTAACGTTTTTTTTTTCTTCTTTCTTTTATTTCAACTTCTCAGACAAGAAATAAAATAAAAAACACAATTGGTTATAAATAGAGAATTAACACAAATGATGAATTTGAAAAATCCATGGAAGAAGTCTAATTGGTGCAACACTACAAAAATCTCAAGATGTTGTGTGTGGGGGGAACGACAGCAATTGCCTTCGTTGCGGGGAAGATGGTTACTTTTTTTGGAACTCCAAGTTTAAAGGAATAAAAAATAAGTAGCCAATTTGATTTAATTAAAAATACTAACTTTGGAGCCCTGGGTAATATACCAGCATTTACAAGCCTCAAACAAACGTTGCAAAAATTGTGTCTAGCTAATTTTTAATTCCTGCTTCATGCTTCCTAATTTCACTGGGTCATCGTTTCTATTCCTTTTCCACTTGCTATTGCTTTCCTTAAAACAAAATCACACTGTGATGTAGAAAATTTAAAAAATAATATATTTCTTTTTGTTGTTTTTGTTTTTCTTTGTCTCAGACATCATCATCATTATTTGTAATAAAAAAAAACTAATGTAACCAAAAAAATAATATATGTAGCTATAATAAAATAAATATATATAAGAAAATGAAGAAATTGGAAGAAGAGCAAATTATTTTTTTCTAGGCAAAAATTATCAATCCATTTTGTGAAAAAATTTGTTAAATAAAAAATGGAAACAATTAGCTATCGGCTGGTTCTGCGTTCTTCCTCTGCAGTGTGTTGCGATTTTCGTTTTTCTTTATTGTTGTTGTTTTTTAAAAAAAGGCCTATGGTGCTGGAGAAGGTGGTGGTGGTGGATGAGTTGAAACAGCAGCAGCAGTTGTTGTAATACAATTTGCATTTGAAGAGGAGGAAGTTACTGCGGCAGCATCAGTGGTATTATTGGGGGAACTATTATTAAGGGATTTCCTCGTTAAACCCTTGCTGCCACTACCACTGCTGCTGCTACTGGCAAAAGGAAATTGTTTTCTATTATTTCGACAACTTTTTTGGTTTTCCCTTAGAAGACAAGCTGTTGCAGTTGTTTCTGTTGTTGTTGCTGTTGTTGTAGCATTACATTTATCAAACATCTTTAGCTATGGTTTAGTGGGTCAATTTTTTGGAAACACATCGGAGATATTGACAAAAGCACATGCGCCCAACGATGCCTGAGCCATAACCTTGAGTAATTCATTGGCATGGGCCACACAATATTCCAATGGTGGCCATTTTGCATAATTCATTGATTCTGTAATGAAGAAAATGGAGGAAAAAAGAACAGGATGATCTTTAAATTCGAAGACTTTGGGTGATATTAGTCGTTGAACTTACCTAATATGGCTGAATTTAAAGCTCTACAGACAGTCTCACGTTTTGTTGGACACAATTGCCAACCTAAAGGACTTGCCCAGGGATTTGAATACGCTATTAAACTAAATGCATCCTGAAAGAAAATAAACAAGAAAGAGAAAATTAAATAAGTGGATCTGAAGCATGGGTAATTAGGCTAGCAGATGAGGCAGCTCTTGGAGTGTTTGAGAGAAACATTCTCCGAAAGATCTATGGGCCGATCTGCGTTGACGGTGAATATCGCCGTCGAATGAACCATGACCTGTACCAGCTATTCTCGGACATCGACATCGTTAGATGGTGCAGCTCAATGTTCATTAGCTGGTACGATGGCTTGATCATGTTGTGAGAATGGATGACGATGCACCAGCCCAAAAGGCATATAAAGGCGAACCAACTGATGGTTCTCGCAGTGGGGTAAGGCCACGAATAAAATGGAAATATCAAGTGGAAGACAACATTGCCGAATATGATCTTTCAAACTGGAAAAACTGCGCAAAAGACCGACGCGCCAAGAAATCTTTTTTAAGCTCGGCTTATGAAACGAATGTTCTGTCACAAGCCAGCTAAGTAAGTAATCCCTTCAGAGAGTCGACTGAGTGTTAACTTATAAGTCAAAAATATTCCTCACATTTCAAGATAGATTATTGCACTTATTATGTTTTTTTTTACATTTATACTCACTTCTAACATTTGTCTCTCCTCATCAGTCATTTTACTTTCTTTTTCCAGCTGTTGACCCATTTGCGATAAATCTTTACCAAACTCCAGTATGCGTTCAATGCCGTGACTATATTTACGAACCGATGGTGAGACATCAACATCTGGAAGACAAAGAATATACATTACAAACAAATAAATCAATTTCATAATTAATTAAAATATACAAAAATAACTCAAATTACAATCGTAAAAAATTGAACGAGGAAATAACATACCCATTTCTTCGTCAGCATCTATTGATTCATTGAAATTATTTGTATTGCCATTTTTGCAAATATTTCCTGAAAATAAAAAATAAATAAAATAATAATTTGAATTACCTTTCAATAACGATTTGTCTGCATTTGGTATTTATAGTTTGGCTTACCATTTGTAGTGTGACCATTATTTTCCATTTCCACATCATTAAGGTAATCATTATCGTTATTATTTTTACTTATTGTATTAGGAGCATCGCCGGTAGCCGAACAATGTTCAACTAAATTACTGTTAAGAGGATTGAAATAAAAGAAAAAAAAATAGAAAAAAATAAAATAATTATTACACATTGTTATAACAAATGGGAAAATGTCCTTAGGCTTCCGTTCTTATATTTCGACTTTGGCAAAATAGCTTATGTGAAGCCTACAAACAATTTGGAATATTTTGGAAATCGGGACCTACTGATGGATGCCAAGAACTACTTATTCAAACGCAGTCGTATATACTATTCGAAACATCTTGGGATCTACTCGATCAAAGACTTAACAGCATATTAAGAAACATAGGGTCTGGTAAAGTTGAAAGTTAGTTAGAACTCCAATCATTTACTTCCACCATTATCTAAATTAATGAGCTTCAAAAATAACCGGAAAATCAAAAACAACCTCGAAAATTAGGGATGGTGATTGACAGACTACGTTTTCTAAGATATAGGACAATAAACAAGGAGTGAAAGGAGACACGAGTGGGTGTTCTCCAGATACTTTGGAATGTTTTCTGTGGCACACAAAAGTGCCAAGCCAAAGAAGCATTGGGTAGGAAGGAGGGCAATCTGCTATTGCCATCTATACGTAGTTAATGATCAGCAAGACGGAATTCACCGGGATTAATAAACAGCTAAAGGTCGTGAGGAAATACGATATAGACCATCCTCATAAGGCCTTTAAGGAACGTCCGGGTCAATCGAATTCCAATCTCTTGTATATTTTCAAAAGGTTCAGAATGGTCTAAAAGAGGTTTGCATTTTTTTAAATATATCCTCAAGGGTCTATAAGAGGCATGGATTTTTTTAAATATTTTCTGAAGGGTCTATAACAGGCCTGGATTTTCTAAAACATTTTCTAAGGGTTCAGAAGGGTCTACTAGGTGCTTTTTTTATATATATTTTCTCAAGGTTAGGAATTGTCTAAATGAGGCCTGGATTTTTTTAAATATTTTCTCAAGGGTCTATAAGAGCTTAATTTTTTTAAATATTTCCTCAAGGGTCTATAAGAGGCATGGATTTTTTAAAATATTTTCTGAAGGGTCTATAACAAGCCTGGTTTTTTTAAAAAATTTTCTAAAGGTTCAGAAACGACTACTAGAGGCGTGAATTTTTTAATATTTTATCAAGGTTCAGAATTGTCTAAAAGAGGCCTGGATTTTTTAAAATATTTTCTCAAGGGTCTTGATTTTTTTTTAATATTTCCTCAAGGATCTATAACAGGCTTAGATTTGTTTAAATAGTTTCTCACTGTTGAAAAACAAGTTTGCCTACGGTACCAAATTTTGCGTAGCAGTCAAGGAGGATAGTGGGAAGGTTGTCATATTGAAGGCGAAAGTCAAACTTATTCAACGTCTGCTCCAAGGTCTGATTCGAAAGAGGCCTAGAAGGTCAAGGAAAAGGCTGTCACGGTATAGACGAAAGTCGGACGTATACAAAATATTTCTGCAATTATTTATGCTATAAGATCGGCGGAGAAAGAGCAATCTGTTGCGAAGAAACTCCTGTTGAAAAAAAAAACAGCTCAGACTTCGGGCTCGCATGTTCCGGTATTAGTCAAGAAGTATAGTGGGGGAACGCCGTCATTGGGAAGATGAAAGACGAACATATCTACACAGAAACTTCAATGTTTGCTCCTAAGACTGATTTGATAGTGGCCTAGAAAGACAAGGAGAAGGCTGTCAAGGCGTAGACGAAAGTCGAGATCTCCGACTGAAACAACTTGACGGATGGCCATCATTGACAAGGTTAACTCTGATGAAAGGATCAGTGAGAGTCACTGGCCGCTACCCGACATGCATTTGTAGATTATCATCCTAACACAGTTGCAATTTGATAGGAATAACCAGTAGAAAAGGGACAGGGCCTTCAGCGTAACTTATCGTCTGTATCCGTGAATGAGATTCCCGTGCGAAATGGACACCTCTGTATGTTTTCCTTCCTCTCTTTTGGATTTGGAGGAAATACTGAGGATTGTCGAGAATCTGAACTCCGGCCTTCTGGCGCAAATTGAATACATTTAAGAACAACGAAGAACTGGTTGTCAAATATGTCACGGATATAACGGAAAAGGCGTTCCTGAAGAGATTAAGACAGGTGCGGTTGTGTATGGTTTGGGCGAATTCACTACTGTATCCCTTCATTGCAAAATTATGTAGATGTAGACTGATGGTGGTGCAAATAAACCTGCATCATTACAATACCGAAATTTGCGGTGGTGCCGTTATATGGAAGGAAGGTATCAAAAGATGTATAAAATCATGTACACATAAAAAAGTATGAGCATATTCACACACATGGAGATACTCCTCCCTACCTTATATACAGATGAACTAATTTGTCAGCGAAGTTTAATGGAAAACCCTCTCTTTTGAATCTGGTAGAAGGGGTATAATCGGAATAAACACTTTCACAATTCATTTACCGATTGAAAAACCAATGTAATTAAATGTGTGGCGTCAATTAGGAATCAAAACTGTTAGACCCTTTAAAATGGCTACTTTTTCTGACGTCGAGTCAGTGTGAATATAACAAATTTCCATTCTTTGCATAAAAATAAATATTAACTTCATACCGTCCATAACGTGAGTTTTCATAAATATTAAATAAATTCGTCAAAGACATGAGACGTAAAAATTAAGGGTCTTAAGGGGGGATGTCTGCCATACTCACGATTCAGTTTTTATATCATTATCTGTATGTATCACAGTTGTTGTGTGGCTTGTATTCTGTGCATTATTTGTTGCTACTGCTGCTGTTGATGTTTCTGCATTGTTGCCAGCAATTCCAGCTGCTGTTGCCGCTGCCGCTGAATTGGTATTATTGGCGGTTGTTGTTGTTCCTGTTGTATTGGTGGTACTACCATTACTGCTGCTACTACTACTGCAATTATTGCTGCTGCTGTTTGTGGTATTGTTACTATTATTGCTGCTGCTATTGTTGGTGGTGGTTGTTGTTGCTGTTAGGGTATTATTGGTGCTTGTTGAGGCCATGCCGGCAGTTGATGCTGCGCCTGCAACGGAGGTATCATCATTTGTATTGCCATTCTGATACGATTTGGTCGATTGTATAACCGATGTTTGATTTGAAGCCGAGCATGTTGTTGTTGTAGATTGTTTGGAGGAGGAGGAGGAGCATGTTGTTGTTGCAATATCATTTGTTGTTGTTTTATTATTAGACGATGAGGGGCAGTACTATATGAAAAGAGTACCCAATCCACATTATGTGCATTGTGCGGCAGACAGTCAGCCATTCAGCAAACCAACCAAACAGCCAGCCATTCAATGAAACAAACCCAGCCAATATGAAATACACGATAATTACAACAACAGGTAGAAGGATTTCAATGTTAGAATCCAAACAACCAAAGAAATGAGCGAGAGGGAAAACGGATGCGTAATATAAAAGAGAATTGGAAAAGAAGAGAGAAGAGAAGGAAAAATCAAGTGATATTATTATACCGAAAAAATAAACAAACTGAAAAATTTGGATAAATCCAAAAGCAGACAATGGACAATTTCTTGAAGAAAATCTAGTTTTATAACAAAGTTTTTAAAATTCGTTTCAAGAAAACTATCCATGCCTGTGTCTGAATTAATAATTGCCAGTATATACCTCAATATCGGAGCCATTGATCATTTCGATAAATTGTCTACACTTTAGCATAAACCACAAATTCTTATTGTTCTCCAAGAGGCCAGGATATGAACGTAATGTCTGTTCTATGGCTTGGCCCATACGACCGGACATAACTAATTTTAGAATTTCTGGAAAGAAGAAAAGTAAAAGGAATTTTAAAGAATCAAATTAAAGGATATTCGATTCATTATCACTTACTTTGTCTATTACGCATGGATGAGAGATCTTCCCTTAGAGTTTGACCCGTTGTACGGGCAAACGCCTCAGCTGTTTGACTGTAACCATTATGCACCAGATATGAATTAACCATTCTAAGAATACAAAAACGAATCAAAATTATTAATTACATTTTTTTTTTTAAATTTTAAGGTATATTACGACTTACTTTTGTAACAATGTTGTAGGATCGCCTTGTTCGACAGGTAGTGGAAAATCATAAATTGTTTTCTTCATTTCTTCTCGCATGTCTCGCATCATCTCTTCGATTTTATCAAATTTGAAGGGTTCTTGTCCAAAATTGGCATCAACTTCTTCGCCGGGTGTTTGTAGACCAACTGTGGGATATAATTTTGTCTGAAATAAGAAGACAAGATAGAATGATAAGAATTAACAACAACAAGGGCAAGTGTGTATAGTGTTGGAAAGTATTCAATATGTAATAAGGTTGTATTTTTTCCAATGCATAAAATACATCTCTGATAAGGATGAAAAAAGGTTTCTTTGGTGATACTGACGATCAAATGAAGAAAATTTGTATTGGATGGATTTTTAAAAATATTTCTTTGGATCACTGATATGTGTGGATTTTTTTCTGGAAAAACAAAAATATGTTTTCGGGATACTCAACAGGCGTGGATTTTTTAGAAATATTTTTCACAGTCCCAAAATAGGCATGGGTTTTTAAACATTGTTAAAAATATTTTTTTCGGTATCCTTAATAGTGGCTTGGATAATTTAAATATAATTTTTCGGGATTCATGATAGGCGTGGATTATTTGAAAAATATTTATTCTAGATCCTTATAGGTGAAGGTTTGTTAAAAACGAATATTGGAATCCTTGATAGGCGTTGAATTTTTTGTTTAAATATTTTTAGGCGAGGATTTTCAAACATTTCGAAGTTAACTCAGATTATAAAAGCTTTGACTATATTCTTCACTGCAAGCAACACTATAATACATTTCCTAAAGCCTTCTTACAGTACATTTTGGAATCCTACGATCCATCCCCACAGATGGTCAACTGTTGATAAAAAACATGATCTTCTTCAGTTTTTCTATGGACGAAAGAGACCGTCAACTCTTCTCTGAAGAATAAGACATTCAGCTCTTCTGCTAGGAAAAAGGCGTTTAGCTATTCTATGGAAAAATAACTTTATTTTTTGTTTTGAAAAAGATATCCTGTTCTTCAATGAAGATTAATTCGTTCGAATTCTCAATAAATCGGAAGACCTTATGTTCTGCTATGGAGAAAAATCGTATGCTCTTATGCTGGTAGGATAATCTTCTGTGGAAGAAAACCTTATCTTCTTCTATGGCCATGTCCTTTTCCTTCATAGAAGCCTTCAGCTTTTGGAAGGAGAAGGTCATCAGCTTTGACTATTTTCTTCACTGCAAGCAAAACTACAATAAATTTCCACGTTTCTGCGAAAGAGGTGTCTACGGTCCGTAACGACCCGAGTCTTACTCGGCCAACGTCTGTCACCTCAGCCCATTGTGTAAAAGCAATAGGGCTGCTACAACAACAATAAATTTTCTGGAATCCTATGATCCTAGTAGCGACGTTCAACGCTGATAGTTGTTCCGCCCCTCAGACTAGACGTTCTTATTTTGCTATACAAAACAAATAATAATTTTCGAATTGTCACTTGAACCACCTCCCACAATCATTCTTTTTTCCACGACAGTTGGGTCTACAATAATAAACGACCATAGGTATCGCTCGCACAATTAGTATCACATCAGTTCATTGTGTAAGCCTCGTACAACAAAAACAACCATCTTACGATGACAGATACATCTCCGTCATAAGTCAGTCAGGACTTTGTGTATTTTCCAAAACCTCATTCCGTCGAAAGTAAAAATATTGTTGTTAATCTTTTAAATTTAGTATACACTCCTAGAGTTTGCTCCTTTGAGTTTGATATTTTATACGGTATATATCGGTACAGGTTTTGAAATAGTCCCGATATGAAGGACCCATTGCCACAGCATTTCCAAATATGTTAATTCTATAACATAACATCCATAAATAATTAATTTGGTACAATGGCATTTCGGAGTTTCAAAGTTGATCAAACGACTTTAGGTATTCGGCATCTAAAAACCTAAGTGCCTGTAATTTTGAATATTGGTTTCTCAAATGATAAACTATCTCCTCGCAAATAAAACCAATATTAGTCGATAGGTCCTTCCTCCCTCAAGTTCCTGAACTAGCATCAATCACAACAACAATAGTCTACATATGACTGGAAATCGAGCATCTACCATTACATTTCAATTTCATTTTAATATTTTCAAGAAAAAAATAACTTCAAATTTCTATACTTACCGGCAAATCTCTAAACGCAATGCCCAAATGAGTGCCATTCTTAGTATAGAAACATGTATTATTGACGAAATTTACACAACAGCCGATAATATCGCCTGTGGTAAATGTCGGACCATACGATTGGCCATGGCCGGATGAAGAAAATGAATTACCATCATCGCCATGATAACCATACGATTGTTTATCCCAACCTGATGATGAAACAAAAATTAAAATTTATTAAAAAAAAAACACAACAACAAAATACATTTCCACATGATGGTGGAGGTCATAATCGAATTTTTTGTAAAACTTACCTGGCAAACGATTCATACGAAACTGTTGAGCTGTCAAACCAATGCCCATGTAACCATTTTTGCCCTTAGATATAATTTTCACTTCGAAATAATAGATGCCACAAGCGGGTGGTATTGGATGGGCTGTGCGAACAGAAGCTGCATCATTATTTTGTTTACCTATTCCGTGACAAGGAATTGATGATGAAAATTGTCCCAATTGATTGTTGAATATGTAGGGATTTTTATTAGCGTTGAATTGAGAAGAAAATATAAATAAAATGAAATAAAATTTATATATCCAAGGAGATTGATTAAAATGTGTAAATTGATACAGAGAGAGATGATAGACGACATAGACTTGTCAAAAATATAAAAAGGAGACACTGAGAGAGATAAAGGATTGTAAAGAGTTGCCATTTTCTCATGGCATAATTGAGATGTTGTAATTATTTGGAGAACCATTGGGGAGAATGACCTACTCTACAACTATTTTTTTTGCATTGGCAACCCTTAAACCATGCTCCATCATCATTTGACATTTGGTTGGCAAACACAATCAGCTGATTCATCACTTTGTGGTTGCACACAACAACAAAAAAGCAACAGCAGCACAAAACAACAAACAAAAGCACGCGAATGACAAGAGCAAAACGTAATAAAGAAGAAAACAAAACAACCCACAATGGAAGGGGAAATGTTGTTAAGGAAAAGTGCATAAAAACAATGAGGAAGAAAAAATAAAAAAAGCAAAAAATTATTGGGGCTAGAAAATGACAATGCAGTTCCATTTCTTTTTTATGGCTAGTTTCGTATTACACAAATTGCAAACAAAGTAGAAACAATAATAAGTTCAAGTATTATGAAAAGTAATTACCACAACAACAACAATAAGAAACTGCGATAACATGGAAGAAGACATTGAATGGAAAATGGGGTATAACAACAACAAAATGCAATACGCGTAAACGATTCGATTTCAATGTTATGTTTTGTTGTATGGTTTGGATTTTGTTTTTTTTTTCATTCATTGTTTTAATAATTTCTCCCCCTAGTGCATGCTCAGTTAAGTCAGAAGTGGGATTTGAACAAATTGCAACTGGTTTCAATTACAAAATGCAGCGAGCAGGCAGGAGGAAAAGAAGGGGGAGGTTGTTCAGCAGCACCCCAACGCTGAGGTGTTGCAACATGGACTGACTGCATTTTGAACTAAATGAACGAACGTTCATTTTTTTTACATAAATAGGTATTGTATATAAATACATATGTACATATATAACAATTTATTGTATTTTGTAGATATGTATGTGTGTATGTCCACCAATATAACTACATGATTTCATATATGTACATAGATGTGTGATATGAAGGTGTTGAATTTTTGGCTTGTGGTGTCGTATTGTGATCATCATGACGACAGCCCACATGCCGACCAAACAACAACCGACCCCCTTTGACCGCTGCCTGTCACTGACCCAACAAGGTTTTTATATCGACATGTGGGTTTTATTTAACAAATTTTGTTTTATTTAATTTCACTTTTGAAACAATAATTTTTGTTGTGATATACAGTCGAACTTCTATAAATTGAACCACAATTACATCGAAAAAAAAACTTCGATTTATGGGGACTTCGATTTAACTATAATTTGTTCGACTGTATTTCTGTTAATGAAAGGATTGCTCGATCTCTTGCCTCCAGATTAAGGTGTTTCAGGTTATTGTGCCTGTGTCTCCTTTTCTATGTTACACATTTACACCACATACCTACATGGTTATTTTTTGAAGTTTCATTGCCCCTGTTTTTGTGTGTTTCAAGTTTATTGCTCCTTGAATGTTGTTGTTGCTGTAATTGTGTTACTTTACGGTCAACAGAAGACAGACAGACAGCCACAGAGCACACATCATAACATGTCGTTGTTCGGTCTTTTGTTTTGTTTTCAACTCCTGAAGAAACCACAACTCAGAGGGGGAAACAATAACAAAATGGAAGTAAGTGGTAGGATACACACAAAGTAAGAAATTAAATATAGGACATGAAGTAGGTAGGTACACTTGCAGAGAGATTCAGTAAACCAAATTTATTTCAGGTGTATTAAAGGAGAGAATTTTCGGACAGGACAGTGGCACTTTTAATTGAGTTATTAATTCAGGATCATAATCTCATAATTGGGTAATTCAAATACGAAACGAATGGAATTCGCAATTTGATCCAGCTTAGTTCTTCTATGGAAAAGAAACTTCTGCTCTTCTATAAAGAAAATTGTCCTCCAGTTTTTAAATTAGGATCTTCTAGAAGAAAATTCAGTTCTACTATGGAAAAGAAACTTCTGCTCTTCTATAAAGAAAATTGTCAGCTCTTCTATGACGGAAAAAAGCCTCATCTATGGTGGGAGACCTTATGATCTTCTGTATATGGTTTTCTATTCTATGGAAGAAAATCATCAGGCCTTCTATGAAGAAAAATAGAAAATGGATAGATGATGTGTGTCTTGAGGGCTGTTGGTGAAATTATTAATAGAAAATGGAACAAGGACAAGGAAAATATATTAATTAGGAATTCGAAATTAAAGATGGTAGCCAGAAAAACTTTGCCACCTCTGTTGGCTTTAGTCATAAGTCTATAGGGTTCCGGGGTCAATGCGCTCTCAATACGAGTAGAGAGAATTGCGGTATCCGGAACATAGTCGTGCCAGAATCGAACGGGTGTGCGTAGGAAGAAGCCGGAGACCGCACGGATTTCATCGCGTTCGCTATCGACAACCTGTTGACGTCCGATAGAATGACGTCTTGGATGCCATCACGATAGCGCCTGAAGTCCTAACGGATGTGTCGCGGAGGTGGATCTGCCATCTGTCTAGTCAACAACACATTACGTTATTTGACTGACAGAATCCTGGCCTCCTCATGTGACATCATCTGGACACAGGCGGCATTATTTTTAGTTGTTTGCCCAAAATGGGGGCAGTATAATTAAGGATAGAACGACCTATGGATTTATATGTCATTACCAACGTTTCTTTATTCTTGCCCCAGGAGGTGACAACCAAAGCTTTCAGAACTTTATTCCTAGCTTCCACCTTCTGGTTTATGTAGTTAGAATGCGAGGATTAATAAAGGAGGTCATCGAAGGCCACCCCAAGGATTTTCGTATTATGGACTCGTCCAACTTCTATGGAAATGTCAAATTCTATTCTATATAAAAAAACAACCTCCTAAATTAGATCTTAAGTATGTCGTATCGGAGCCCGAAGCCCAAAGACCGCTATAAATTCGGGGCTCTCCACCGCATTAGTCTTTGAGATTTTTATCCCTCTTACATATAGTATGTATAGTCTAAGAATTGGGCTAGGACCTTCAATATATAAAAAAATATAAATTCAAATTCCTTTTATTTTCATTATCCTTAAATCTCTCTTGATATATTTCTTTCTATATCTCATCTCTCTATTTTAAATAAAAATTAAAATTTATAAAATAATAAAATCAAAAATTCCCCACACTCACCTTTAAAATGGACCCGCAAATTATTCTGCGACAAACCAATTGACAAACATTTATCGTGTGGACTCCAGCAACGTGGCAATGGTGTTTCGTTTTCGTTGACATTCGGATAAAGTAATTTTAGACGATCGACAACTGGTTCATTGTTGCTGCCGCTGCCGCCGACCCCACCATTGCTGGTGGTTGCACCACCATTATCTGTGGAACCATTGCGTTCGGCATTGCTGCTGCTGCTAGTCTGGGCGAACATTGTAGAATTGTTGCTGGTGCCGCTGCTGCTGTTGTTGTTATTATTGTTGTTGTTGGTACCGTTTTTAGTTGTACCAAATTCGTAGGGATAACCAGAACCAGCGCTGCTAGACGATGCTGAATGATGCTGCTGCTGGTGGTGGTGGTGTTGATGATGGTACGATGAGCGGGGATTATGATGATATCGGTGATCGTAGGACGGCGGTAAATGTTTAGATTCTTCAGTTTGTTGTTGTTGTTGTTGTGGCTGTTGATAAAGCAACAAAGGCAGTGTTGTTGGTGGTGGTGGTTGTTGTTGTTGTCCTGAAGTACCAGCCGATCCTGAAGGGGAAATATCTAATGATTCTTGCGACTGCTGCTGCTGTTCTGTTAGTGTGGATGATGATCGTTGATGACTGTGCGGTTGCTGCTGCTGCTCTTGGTTAGCTGATAATGCGGCATTTCCTGCACTTGCGGCTAAGGACTCCTCATGCTGAGCATTCAGGTCAATATCAAAATCATTGTTGTCGTTATCATCCAATTGTATATCGTTGTCAAATTCAATGGCTGCCGGCGGTGCTGGCGGAGCTACTGCTGCTTGATCACCTTCCAAACGTGCTGGTGATCCTTGGTGGAGTGATGCACTGCTACCTAAAGGTTGCACAACCACTGCCGATGCATCTAGGGTATCAGCAATGTCGTTATGCTGCGGCAGTTCCCGCGGTGGTGTTGCTGCAGAAGATGAAAATGACGGCTGTTGTAGGGCTTGTAGCGGCGGCGGTGGGGGAGGTGAATCTTGATGCTGTTGATCTTGCTGCTGCTGTCAAGAAGAAAGAAATAGAAGAAGAAGATGAAATAAATAAGGGTTGTAATTTTGAAGATGCTGCTGGGGAATAATTGAAATGAAATAAGGATCATGAATGGCATGAAGATCGAATTGAAGCCAATGATGATGATGCTGATGAAGAAGATGGTGAGTCAGATGATAATGACACGTTGATGGTGAAGGCGGCATTATGTTTGTTGTTGCTGTTAAGCCTGTCAATGAGTCTTGTGTATTGTCATTATTCGTATTTTTATTAGTATCAAGCGCACGAATAGCTTAATAATTTCTTGAGGCTGAGAAGAATAAGAAGTGGGTGAAGGAATAGCTGTAACATTTTGTTTTCTAAATTGTGTTAAATAATTGTTTTTGTTCAAAATTTTGTTTTTGAAGCATTGACCGATCATTCTTGTTGGAGGATGTGGGGGGAAATTCGAAAAAAATTGTAAGGAATTGTTGCTGATGTTATTCGAGGTGGTGGAAGTGTAAAAAATTGAATTAAAATCATTATTAGATTGTGGGAGGATGTGAAAGAAAAAGCGGCCAAATGTAAAAATTTCGATTTGTTTCTCTCTAAAAAACTATTGATGATGGTAATGACACTGAAGATGGAACAACAGAGGCTAAGGGCACATATGGACATACCATAGGCTCCTCCCCCATGGCAATGCCGCCAGAGTTGTTGGCATTTGCATTTGGAGCCATTGGCATATTGTTGTCATTATTGGTGGACGACGATTGTTGTTGTGGCTGGGGCTCATTCTCCTCCTGCTGCTGCATCGGTTCTTCTTCGTGCATTCCATCATCACCATCGTTACTAGCATTGATGCGATTGACACCAACGTCGTTATTACTACCATCATCCTCATTAACATCACCATCATCGTCCGTTGACCTCATAAACGGTAACATTGGCAAATTGCCCAGAAGATTGCTACTACTGCTGTTGTTGCTACTACTTGGCGTTACCGATGCCGAGGCTGATGACGAATTCGGTTGATCGTTATCATTTTCAGCATCCATATTGATTCGTTTTTTTTTGTCTGTTTCTGTTTTTCTTGTATTTCTTTTTTTAATTATTGATTTCTGATCTGTTTTTGCCTAGTTATTTCTTTCTTTCTGATGTCTTCGCGTTTTGCTGATCCCTGTGTGTATATTTCTTCGTGTTCTGTTTCTTTTCAGTTGTTTTTAAATAAAACGTACACCACACTCTTTTTTGTGTATTCTGAAGTAGAACAACTCGTTGTTTTCACTTTTCTATGTAGGTTGAGAGTAGTTTTAATAGCTCTCGTTGGAATAGAGAAGAAGTAGCGAGCCTGTAATCAACAAGGCAAAATAAACAAAATCATTTTTTTTTATAAAATTCTCTTGTTTTTTTATAACATTTAACGACAATTTAAAATATATTAAATCAGGACTTACATACAATTCTGTAAGAAGGCGAAAATGGTTTTTAAACTAAAATATCATCAAATTTCTATTTAAAAGAGAAATAGAAATTGAATTGAATTTTTATGTGCGATTCAAAGGTCTCTTAGAACATGTGAGGATACCCATGTATACAAATTTTACATTTAACAATTTACTAACTCAAATATTAGAACACACATTTCTGATTAAGCTTTTAAGAAGATGACCAAGCAGGGAAAATTATTCCTAGGATGCACAATTTTTTTTTTTTTTAATTTAAGCAATTTTTAACTGAGATCCATTTCCCGAGTTTTGGGTCTTTCATGTTCCGCAAGTGTAGTTTTAATTTTTTTTAAATTCATTCTCTAAACTTTATCGAAACCAGCAGATATGCGACAAATTCCCGTTTTAGAACGAAAAGTTATAAACAAACATGGCCCACCCTTTCTGGTATCTCTCCACAAAGGGTTAAAAATGTCAATATATATAAATCCAATATTAGACTAATGGCATTTTCGATGTGATCCACACTGTGCATATTGTAGCGTTTATTTTAAACACAATTTTTATCCGAATATGGTGAAAATTGGCCCAATCCTTCTGGTACATTGCCACAAAAACTTGTCAAAATTGTTCTGAAATGCATTATATAACATCTCCATCTCTCCGAAATAAAGGATCAACATTTTGAAAATGTGTTAATGCAATAACAATGTTTTAGAATATCCGATTTGATGCGAAATATGTATATCGTAATATTTATTTTAAACTTCATTTAAGTTGGAAGATGGGACGCACCGCGGTACATTTCTTCTACTACCTCCCACACAAAATGGTAAAAATTGCGTTGTAAATTTATGTTATGCTAATATCTAAGTAATATTTATAATATCATGCTAATTATCAATTTTTATAAATCCATAATTTTGCAAATGGAATATTGGATTTTACCCAATTATAATACATCGTAATCTTATTACCAATCCAAGATCAAGGCTGAAGATGGGACCTGCCGGTGCACCCCCTCTAGTACCTATCTCACATAATGTGGACATTTTGAAATGTTGTTATTTAATATCAAAGAAATGTAATATCCGGTTTGATTCAATCTTTTCAAATCGTACTACTTTTACCAAAACTAAATTATGTCCGAAGATAGAACCCACCGATTCACTCCTTCTGGTACGTCTCCCACAAACATTCAAAGATTATGTCTATAGATCAACCTCTTCGGGTAACTCTCCACAGATGGTCACCTATTCGATGTTGTAGTAATCCCGTAGACCTAACTTCTTCAGCTTTTCTATATTTTTCAGGTCTTCTCTGAAAAATAAGACTTTAATCTCTATGGTGAAGAAGACGTCTAGCTTTTTTATGTAAAAAAAAAACATTAGTTTAGTTCTATAGAAATATATCTCCTGTTCTTCTATGAAGTAGGATACCTTCCGTTCTTGTATGGAAGAATGGGGACATCCAGGTTTTCTATAAAGATGAATTCGCATAATCTCAATAAATCGGAATAACTTCAGATCTGATATGGAAGAGAGGAAGTGAACCTTCAGCTCTTATATGAAAGAAGAAAGCATTCAGCTCCTTTATGGTAGGAGAGTTCTGATTTTCTGTGGAAGAAACCTTCTTTTCTTCCAAGGAGAAAAAGACTTCCTGCTCTTCTATTGAAGTACACCTCTTGCCATGCTCCTTTTCATCATAAAAATCCTTCAGCTTCTCTATGGAAAAAGACCTTCACCATTTCTATTTTGTTGTGGGATAAGTTATTAGACTCTGGAGTCGTCCACCTTACATCTCTGAATGAGAACATGATTTTATTTTCATCCCATTCCTTTACGTCTTCTTTTGTGAAGAGGAAGGATTGTGGTGTACTTTGAGATTTGCAAATGTGATTGCCTGGTTGGCTGGCTGGCGGACTGGCAAATGACTCATATTTTTCAATTTGTGCGTAGAAGAAATCACAAATAAAATCAAACACATAAAGGAACAAAAAAACGAATTTACAATTGTGCAAATTTAAATAGTTTTGCAAAAGCTTTGTGTTCTCATACATTTTTAATGCACACATGTGGAAAATGCCATCAGTTTTTCTGCTTTTCTTTCTACTTGACTATCACTATGGGGAACACAAAATTTATTTATGGAATTATTGCAAATGTTTGAAATAAAAAAGTGCATGTACTATTCGTGTTGCAAATATTTTCCACAAAACTACAAAAACAACAACTATGCAAAAATTGCATTAAACAAAACACAGAGGAGAGAACAAAAAATAAAACATCAAAATGCATAATGTGCGCAGTAAATGTGGTCAAGGCTAGGGTGACCTAAATTCCCTTTATAAAATGCATACATTGAGTTTTGACACGATTTTCAGGGCAAAATGTCCGCAAAAATTGTTGGAAACAGAAAATCAAATAGTGCTGGAGGATAAATCGTTCTTCAAATGAAAATTAACTGGGATCTTGGGGGGCAACATCTATTGATCTTTCATCGTATACATTTTGTAGAGACCCCACCATCATCGTTACATTACACAGAAACAACAGACACACTTATTCACACATACACATTTATGACTTATGTGACACGAAAAATTTCTTTGTTTCAATTGGTGGCCCAGAGTTGTTGTTGTTATGTACACATGAATATCGGCAGCAGCCATACATACATTTTTTTATTAAACAATTATAAAGGGAGTTATATGCTTTTAGTCCTCATATTATTTTTTTATTTTATTTTCCTTTTCCAAAATAAACTTTACTTTTATTTTGCACAAAATTAAATGTGAATCGCATTTACTTTGACAGAAACACAAGAGGAAAATTACTGTTGTTCTTTGTTTTCCATGCACACAAACACACAAATCACTGACTTATGGACTCTCTTTCCCTGCTCACTCACTGGCACGCTCTGACAACTCTAAAAACAAAAACAACCATACACAACAAAACTCAATTCTTATTGCACAAAAGCAAAACAACAGCAACAAACATATGAACGAACGAACGCACATACACACACACTACTGCATATACGTATGGTAGCGCTGCGCTGCTGATTGGGAAACACAAAAAGCACACAAAACAACGAAGAGCCAACACAACAACAAAATCCAACTAAAGAGCAAAAGCAACAATAGTACAAAACACAACAATAACAACTTCCTCCACAAACACAATAACAACAAGGCAGGCAGCAGGCACAACGCTTTAGTCAGCCAGCCAACAGTCAAATTTTTGACGTTTTATCTGTTTGGTTTGTATTTCATTCTTTCTTTCGTTGTTGTTTTCATTTCTCCGTATTATCTGTTTTGCTTGTATTTATGTTCCCCTCTTTTTTCTACTCTCCTAATTGGAAATTTTCAAAATACTAGTTGGGTTTTCTAGAAACCATTTTTTGTGGCCATGTTAGCCCCCCAACCAAAGGGCCAAACAAAAAATTGCGAAGGCGAGGAGATTGTTTAGATTTGAAATTCCCCCATTCTCATTTTTTGTTTGTTGTTGGCCGTTGCCAACATCTGATTATTATCATCTGCGTTTCAGTGCAATTTGCAATTATAGATTATGGCATTTGCTATCTTCTACAATTTTTCACTTGTCTTTTTTATTGTTGTTGTTGGTATTATTATAACTGCTGCTGCTGCTGACAATGACAATTGATTTTCAATAATTGTTTTTTTTTTTCTTGTCTTGTCGTGTCTTTGTTTCTTTTTGCTGCTGCACTTTTATTTTGTTCCTTTATATTTTTTTGTTTCCTCTTCGTTCATGAAGAAGAGCAACGACGACGACGAAGTCAGCAGGGACAATCTATTTTTCATTGCAATTTTTATGCTATTCACCTTGACAATTTCGTATTTATCTGCCTCGTTTCGTATTCAACGCGTTTCCAAGTTCGTTTTTCTTGCAACAAAAAGTCTTTTCAATCCAACAATCCAATCTAAAAAAGGACTTTTTGTTTGCTTTAGTTTTTTTTATTCTCTTGCACAAAAATTTTTTACTGTCACGACTACCAACCGACGAAAACCAACGACGACGAAATTAGGGATGTGTAGCTAGACTTTGTCCCAATCGCAGCAAAATAAAAAGAAAGGGTGAGCAAAGTCGATTTTGCAAATGAAGTTAAATTATCGAGTTATCGATTACTGTGTGAATGAGTTATTGGCGGTTTCAGCTGTTCGCTTTGTGGAAAATGGTAAATATTTTGAAATTTATAAAGAAAACATAAAAGAAATGAATTAAATGACAGAAGATTTGTGCAGTTTGGGCAAAAGGAAAAAAATTTAATTAATTATAGAAAATTGTAGATCCAGAATCTGCAATGAAACTCCACATTGTACTATTTTTGCTGGAAATTGACAAACAGTTGGTCTGTTCCCGTACTGCAAGAATCTACGCGATTTTACTATTTTCTTCGATATCATAAAGGAAAATTTGTTATCGTAGTAAAAAGTAGTAGATTCTTGCAGTACGGGAACAGTAAGTTTTAGGCATACTAACAGTACATTTACACTCTACTGGATTTAGTCTCTTCTCTTAATTTCGACTTGGCCGAGTAAAAATGGTAAACAGGAATGCCTGCTTCTGACTGGTTGTTATGTTGATTTTGAAGTATTGCCATCAAATTTTGTCATATATGCTAGATTTGCGTTTCCGAACTTTTCAAATTATTTTGTACTCTGAGAGCAATTTTACAATGCTCCTCTTTTACTACCTTTACTATTAAAAAGGTATTGAAACAGACCAATTGTTAACGTAGTAAAAAATAGTACATTCTTATAGTACGGGAAAAGGCTCTTGGTCTGTTCCCGTACTGCAAGAATCTACTAGTTTTTACTACGATAACGAATTTTCCTTTATGATATCGAGGAAAATAGTAAAATCGAGTAGATTCTTGCAGTACAGGAACAGACCATATATGTATAGCCTAGTTTAGACTATATCTTATATCGTGATTATCACGATTTACATCATTTCAGATGTCGATTTATTTTTAATCACTATTTACTAATAATGAAATGCAACAAGATTTTTATGAAAAAATGTATATGTTGTGAGATTAGGATAATGAAAAACAAAAATTAAATATTTTTCACTAATATAATAGTACGTTTACATTTAACCGGATTTCGTTAACCCAGTGAATTTCAATTGTCAATTCCTTTGCATATATGTCAAATAAATCCTCATAAAGTAGGTTAACTCGGTAAAAAATTCTAATGTATATGCCGTTTCAAATTCATTTGTTTTTTAAATGTATTTTAATTTTTTACTTTTAAGTTTCCTATTCAATTCTATATAAAAACAATCATCAGCTGACTGATATTTAAATCATTTTAAGATACATATGTGTAAATGGTTATGTTTTTAACGAAATGGCCGGTAATTTGGATTGGATTCATTCAAATATTCTAACCAAAAATGATCAAAATTGATATGTACACTTTTTCCGGCTCCACTTTTTGGAGAGCTTGTGCATATTTTTCAACTGATTTACCTATAATTTGGTATTTCGGATTTTCATTGGGTAACAAAGCTTTCTACACAACATTGGATACTTTTTAGGATAGCCCCAACATAACAGCACACCCAAATATTCAGTATTTATAGCCTCTATATAGCGGTACCTCTCAAATGTCGGTACATTGGGAAATTTTCGCATGTTCTTCAATAGAATTGGCTGTAATTCGGTATTTTAGATTGTCATTGGTTAGCAAATCTTCCCATTAAATTTTCCCAATATTGGTCCACTTTTTATGATACCTCCCAAAAGATCGGTATTTTGATATTTCGGGTTTTCATTGGTTGGCAAATATTCCTACCAATAATTTACAAATACATAGCCTTCATATACAAGGCCTGATCGATTTAAGGTATACTTTTTTTTTATTTAACAAAAAGTTTATAGATATTTATTTAAAAAAAATGTATCAAACAATTTTTAGATGTGAGATAATATTTCAGAACTTATAAAATGTGTATTAATAATTTTCAGTTGTTCTGACATAATTAACGCCAGAAGGCATGGAAACCTTGTCAAATCCTTTTGGGAAAAGTTTTTGGGCCTCCTCATCGGTGACGGAGGGCAAGATCATGACCTTGGTGCCGGGCTGTAAAGAAGCAGAAATAAAATCAAAATATTTTTTTTTTGAATTCATATTAAAAACTAAAAACAACAAAAAGAGTAGTTTGTTAGGTCACCAAGCAAGATCAGCTGTTCCACAAGTTTTCTGTCAAATTACAACCAACTTTTTGACATGAAACGTAACATAAAACAGCTGTTTTTGCTTTCTGGGTGACCTAAATGAGTCCTATTTATAAGGCCATTCAGTACAATCAGCTGCAAGGCCTATATATAAGGTCACCCAGGGAGACCAGATGTCAGCAACCACTAAAGTTTGCTGTCAAAATTCATTATTGTGAATTGACTTCCATTATGAAAACGTAAACAATGTTCAAATTTTTGACATTAGACTTGAAAAAACAGCTGTTTTGTGATTTCGATGGGGGACCTTATTTACCTGGGGGACCTTATTAATAGATCTTGATCAGCTGCCTCTCAAGTTTATTGTCAACATATATTATTGTGAATTGACTTCCATTAAACAACAATTCCAATTAATAAGGTCATAAAAAAGTTATAGGCCGCCCAGAGAGACCAGCTGGATATCAGCTAACTCTTAAGTTTGCCGTTAAACTCCATTATTTAAATCGACTTCCATTATGAAAACGTAAACAAAAGCCAAAATTCATTATTGTGAATAGATTTTCATTATGAAAACGTAAATCAAGTCCAAATGTTTGACATTAAACTTGAGGAAAAAAAGCTGACGTTCGCTGGGTACCTTATTAATAGATCGTGGTAAACAACATTCACATTTTTTATATTCAACTTGAACTTATTTTTGCTGATCCAAAATGTGGACATTAATCTTGAGTCCTTACAAGGTCTATTAATAAGGTCATCCAGGAAGACCAGCTGGATATAAGCATCTTCTCAAGTTTGCTTCTAAAATCCATTATTGCGAATTGATTTTCAATATGAAAAACGTAAACAAAGACATTAGACTTGAGAATTAACAGCTGACTTTCGCTAGCTGGGTGACTTGATTAATAGATCTTGCGTTAGACTTGAGAAAAACAGCTGACCTTAGCTAGCTGAGTGACGTTTTAATGGATCTTGTCATGATGCAATAATAAGGTGATGTATCAGAACAAAAACCTTTGTTTTTGTCTCGATCATCTGTCAAAGTTTTCCTTATAATATTTCACATGGTTGGCAACATTGCACATCGAATTCAAGTAAAATTTTACACTTTGACAGTTAATCAAGACATCAGCTGTGCTAAATGGATCTTGTATGTGATCTTATCAATAGGTCTTGGACCTTCTTAAGAGTAATGCTTTATAACTTACAGTCCAATTGGCAGGAGTGGCCACAACCTTGAGACGATCGGTCAATTGCAAAGAATCAATGCAGCGGAGAATTTCACTAGGAATTAAAAAAAAAACATTTTTATTAAAATTTTATCTTAATTTTAAAATTCATGATTTCAACTTACTCTACATTACGTCCCGTTGACATGGGATAGAACATGGACAAGCGCACCTTATGATCGGGGCTAATAATAAACAAGGCACGAATGGTTTTACCCACTTCAGGATCTTGACGTTGCTCCTCATCCAACATACCGAATTGTACAGCCAGCTCACGGGTGGGATCAGCTAAAATAGGATAGGGAAATTCACCGGGAATATCCAAACAATAGGATTTAATATCATTGACCCAATCGACATGAGATTTCAGCTGATCGACAGAGTGGGCCAACAGCTTGGTATTGCGTTTGGCAAATTCGGGGGCATGGACGGCAATGCGACCCAATTCGGTGGTACAGACGGGTGTAAAATCAGCGGGATGGGAGAATAATACCACCCAACTGGAAATGAAAACAAAAAATAAATAAATAATAAAATAAAAAATGTGAATGTAATTGTTTATTTTATGATATATGACACTAATTTTAAATAATAGAATAATAAAAAAATAACAACTATTAATAAACACTCTCTGTGTGTGAATGGTGAGATGAACCACAATAAGTACGAGTACATTGTTCAGCGATTAGATTACACAATGCCTAGCATTTGTTCCAACTATTCTAGTTTTTACTATAAATAAATTTGTTTGTTTGTGCGGTACATATATGTATGTATAGCGTTGAATCTTGAGTAGTTTGCCGGCTTGACTGGAGGTGCACTCTGGAAAGTGCAAATACAACAAAATTGTATATTTTGTTGTCATTAAAATTCTTGGCATGTGCTTTTCATAACAGACTTAGATCACCTATGCGGATTAACATTTTACAAAAACTATTTTTATTTTGCAAAAAATTACTATTCCCTCCATTGATGAATTAACCATTCGCCAGCAAAATTCTACAATGAAAAAAAAAAGAAAACAATGAAACGCGGAATAATTAATCAGGGAGGGAAGAATTCTAATCGCTAACAAAATTAATCGGTAAACTCTAATTTGTGTTAGTTTGCTAAATTTTTGGTACCTTCAGAACCTCCACCATTAGGTGAAGTCTATTTTAAATTTGTCACTCCGTTTGCAACAACCTGAAATATTCTCCGGGGACCTCGTAATATGATTTGAATAAAATCCTATGCTTATTTCGCCCTGCCGACAGACAGAGTTCGCAATACTTAAGGTAGAGCTTTGAAACACATAGATTACTACCATTTTTAGGATTTTTTTTTTTTTTTGGAATAGTCCCCATATAAAGGAATCTCCCATTTTTCGATATTTTGAAGATTTTGTGCCAGTTTTGTTAACATAATTTGCCGAAATTTGTCAATTTGGGTATTTATTGGCTAGTAAATATTCCTGCTAAAATTATCAACATTGGTCCATTTTTTATGGTAGCCCCCATATAACAGAACCTCCTAAATTTCAGTATTTTCCAAAAATGATTGATCATCCATAAAAAAGTACCTCCGAAATTTCGCTATGGACTTTTGGCACGTTTTTCAACCGAATAATTTAGTACTTTGGGTTCTATTTTTTTATAAAAAATGGGAAAGTCTCCATATGCGGATACTCTCCAAATTTCGACATTTTGGGGAGTTTGGACAAGTTTTTTCAATCGAATTGACTGTAATATGGTATTTAAGATTCTCATTGAGTAGAAAATCTCACCGATGTGTCTGTAATTTGATTATAAGCAAGGCCTATTATTAAGGTCAGCTGGATATGAACTGCTTCTCAAGTTTGCTGTCAAAATCCATTATTGTGAATTGATTTCAAATATCAAAATGTAAACAAAGTCAAACATGTTGACATTAGCTTTGGAAATAAAACAGAGAACTTTCGCTTGTTGGATGAATTTGACCATGATGCAATAATAAGGTGATGTATTAAAACAAATCACTTTTGTTTTGTCTCAACCATCTGTCAATTTTTCCTTATATTTCAAATGGTTGGCAACATTGCACATCGAATTTAAATAGAAATTACGCACTTTGACAGTTAATAGAGTCATCAGGTGCGCTAAATGGAAGCGAAAATCAGCTGTTTTCTTGTCAAAGCTAATGTCATTTTTTTTGACTTTGTTTACGTTTTAATAATGGAAGTCAATTCACAATAATGGATTTTGAGAAGCAGATGATATACAACTGGTTTACCTTATTAATATCCCTTTATTTGGCAGATGGTCGAATAAAAAATGTTGTTGGCCGAACTTAACGACGTTTACACTGTTTATCATTAGGTACGTTTAGATTTACGAAATCCACTCGATCTCAAATGTCAATTCCATAACGTATACGTCAAATATAATCCACTGGATTATCGTTACGTATACGCAATGGAATTGTGGTTTGGAATCGAGTGGATTTAGTAGTCTAAACGTAGCCTTTGACATTTTAACATTCCTGTGTATGCATAAACAACCATCAGCTGACGAGTAGTTATATCCAATCCCATGTTACATGTGAATGGTTAGGATTTTATTTTTGATTTATTAAATGTCACTAGGTTTATGGCGCATTTGCGCACTATAAATGTGCGCACTATAAATTATAGCGTCATAATAGACATTCTTTCGATTTAATTGATAAATCATGATAAATACATCATCTCAGATTCAATCGATATCCTTAACTATGAAATAAAACACACTACTAATGAAATGCAACACTGGTTTTGTACGAACAATAGGGTGGAGGGAAATCTACTCAGGTGACGAAAAAACTGCCTAAACTAAATGTCATTATATTATTTTAATTCAATTTAAAATAATAATATCATTAAAATTTAAATTTCATAAGATAATGATTTTTGCTAAGTTGTGCCAAAATGATTTATTTAAATTCACTTTGACACGCAAAACTATTTGTTATTAACATTCAACCAGCTAATTGACAAATTAACATCTACTTAAAATGGCAATCATTTCATGTGACAATTGAATATAAATAAATTTGCGAACGTGCCTAAAATAATTAACGAAAAAATACTTGTTATTGAAAAATAATAAATATAATAAAATAAAAATAATTTATATTTAATAGGGAATAATTGTTTAAATCGCGTATTGGAATACAAAAATTATACTTTTTTATTTCTTTAAATTTCATTTTTATAATATGTCTAATTTATTATATTGAAACACCTGGAAATTTCTAGGAAATTTCTTTGGTTTTAAGATTTAGATTATATTGAGTACTGATAACACACCCTGACCACTTCTATCGATACGATTTAACATTCATACGATTTAACATTCGTTAATGAAATCTGAAAATACAGCCCTCTATTATTATGTATTATTTTTCATTATTGCGTGAGACTCTAGATTCGGCAATATATTGCAATAAAAATTCAAGTAGGTAGCAAAAAAGGCACACACACAAATTAGATGGCAATAAATCATCGTATAGCAAAATACAGTTGACCATCGATAGATAACCGGCATTTTTTAAAATGGATTTGAAATTTTCATTCGGCGTACCACTGTATAAATAATTCAGTTGTAAAATATGTATTGTATATGTTGATCTTATCATAAACAAAAAAAAAAAAAACAAATATGTCAGTATGACCTTTTAAAGTTGAGGGAAATAAAAACTGGCTCCTGTCATTGCAAAAAGAAACTATTGTTTGAATTATTAGGACAAGTTTTTCTTTATACTACGTATTGTATACCAAATATTTTTTTATTAACTAAAAAAATATAAAATATTCTTAAAAAATATTTCGATTGAAATAATTAAAAAAAAATTAATTTCTGAAATTTGTAAAAAATCACCTCTTTAACAATTTTTTTTTAAATTCACGCTTGCAGAAAAAAATAATTGTCTTGAAATAATGTTTCATGATCAACACCTAAATTGTCTTGAAAAAATTGAAAATAATAACAATTTTTAAATTGACACTTCGATTGCTCTTGAAAAAATAATATGTTAAAAAATCAATTATAAATCCTCGTTTTTTTCATGGACTTAAAAAATCCAAAATGTTCTGCAAAAAACTTACGCTTTAATTTTTATATGACGTTAGAGTGCTCGTCAAAAAATCTACTCTTTAACTATACTTGAAAATAACATTTTTTTAAACGAGATATTCTCTTAAAATATTCTTCAAATAAACGCATTGTTCATATTTGAAAAAATATTAATATATTCTCTAAAATCTCCTTGCTTATAATTTTGAAAATTCTTCAAATATCTCCACTGGCATATACAATATAACTTTTTAACGGGTTAGCCTACTTTATGAGGATTTATTTGACATATATTCAAAGGAATTGACAATTGAAACCCACTGGGTTAACGAAATCTGGTTAAATGTAAACCTACAATAACTCTGTTGTTGGGAGAGGATGAATAACTCTCTTTTCTACTTTCATTCCCAAACAAATCACATTATCATGCACATTTTAATGTCACAAACCACAAATTCACTACATATATTTCAAACCCATAAACTTAATCCATTTCTTAAATGTTCTATCACAAAATATTCACATTTCACTTTTTCCAAAACAAAATAAATAAAAAAAGAAAAAACTTACGATGATCCTTGCCAATCATAGAATTGAATGGGACCCTTTGTCGAGTCACACTTGAAATTTGGCACAGTTGATCCTAGACGCATTTTTACGATGATGTTTTTTGCTTTTACTTCACTTTTTATCTAACAAAAAAATAATAGAAAGATAATCAAAATAAATTATTTTATATGCTACACTATTGCCACTTGCTTACAGTTCAAACGCTACTGACAAAGTGTCTCACTAACCACTGACAGCTACTCTTTTTAATCAAAAATCCAAACCACCTGTTTGCTGTTACTGCTGTTATTCTCTGATATTGTTAATTGTCACTCTCGTTTGACCTTAGCGCAGGGGTATTTACCGACATTTATAATCATTTTGTCTTGTTCTCTGAACTTATCTGTCCGTTATTTTCACGAGACGTTGTTCTTCGTTTTTTTTTTTTTTTTGAGACTTGGCAAAGCAATTGTCAAAGTTATTGTCTCTCATTTCTTGTTGTTGTTGTCTGGATCATTTTTGCAACGAACAGATGTGGGGGTCGAATAAAAGTTAAATGCCGTATGGGTGTGTGTACGAGTGTGCACGTTTTAGGTTTATCAGGAGAGGTGTGTTAACAATGGGGGCTCGGTTGATTGCATTTAACGATGACTGCACTTTGGATGAATTAAAAAAAATACAATTAATATGTAGTATATATGAACGGGCATGTCTTCACTCGTCACCCAGCAAATTACAGTAAATCAACAAATTACATTGTAAGAAGTAAAATAGCAAACAGAAGAGAGAACTTCCATGGCAACATCATTGTCATTTTGTAATGGAGAAAGTGTAAGATAGAGAGAGAGAGAGTGAGAGAGAGTGTGTGTTTTTATATTCAAAGAACATTGTTGTGGATAATGGGGATAACTCTCAATTGTGAATAAATAAATTATTCCCACTGTGCACTGGGGTAAACTACCCAAAATCATGTTGGCTGGCTCTCTCGTGTAATTAATAATGCAAAAAAAAAATCAAATTACAAATGTGTGCCATGAACATAATAACTATGTAAGGCAACAGTGTCATTCCCAAGTAATATAATGGTGATTTTACTATGGAACTTTTTCCTATTTTTTTATTTTTAATTATCGCTTGACGATTTCAGGGGCGGGTATTGGGTATAAGAAAATCAAGCTTACATTGTTTTAGCACCGGATCTAGTTAACTCTCAAGCTTAGACATTGTATTTTTTTATTAGTGTATAACGTTTTCTGAGCAAGCATGGGGTAAAATAAAAAAAGGTCGATGCAAACATACGAATCTTGAAATCATGTCTTTGGGGACACTATCTAAAACGTTATAAGCTGCAATTTTGTGTCGGATTATTTTCATACCCCTTATTAGGGACTGAAATTATATATAAACAACCATGGTTATTTAAAGCCCATTAGCTGGATACTGGATTTTTTTTAAAAAGTACACATGAATAGAATAAAGAATTAAAAACGGGTGGCAATTATCGATTAGAATAAATTTATATGGTCCATGGTCCTATTATCAGGATTAAACTAGATTTAACTAACTAACGAAATTACAATACCAGACATTGAGAAATTGTTCACTTTTTGCCACCTATTTGATTTGAAATCAAAAAGGACATATTTGTAGGACTTTTTTTAATTTATTTGTTATTCAACAGTAATCCTATATATCAAAATATAAAAAAAATCTATAAAAATTGTGTTATTAGAGTAACTTCGGGTAATGTGGACTATGTGTCTAATGTGGACCACTCCCCATATCTAAGAAAATGCCTGGAATATGTCAATGCCGCCTTAATAAATGTTTTCCTAATTAGTGAAAACAAATAATGTTTGACCTTGAATACATTTAGACAACAAATCTACTATGATGTGAAAAAAAATTGTTTTTATTTTTTAACGTTGTTACGCCCACAATATCAAAAAAAGAAAATGGTGGTCCACATTACCCGAAGTTACTCTAATACCGAAAAAGAAGCGGAACTTTTATGTGGGGTTATATTAAAATTTAGACCAATATTATATATGCACCAGACAAATTTCTATATAAGTTAGCCTTTCAGATCAAATTATATCTCCATCGGTTTGAAAATGCGACTATAGTCTTCAAAATACCGAAATTGTAAATGTAGCGTTATATGGGGGATTCTCTCTTATTTACAAGGAAGATTTGACAACCGATGATAACCTGAAAAGTCAAATTAAAGTCAATACACCAAAAAAAAAAAAAAAATAATAATAATAATAAAATCGGAAACATTATCGAAGTTGACCGGCATGTTAGCTGTCGTAACATCGCCCAGGATCTAAAAATCGACCATAAAACTGTTTTAAACCATTTTCCAAAAGAAGCTGCAAAAGGTGCCACACAAATTAACAGAAAAAAATAGGATGGATCGAATTTCCATCTGCGAAGCCTTAGCCTTTTTAATGATAAAAAAATAGTATCTTGGGATGATTGTGAAAATCGACTTCAAGAGTTTTTGCAAAGAGAGAACAGGGCTTCAATGAGAGAGGCATTATGAAGTTACCTTTAAAATGGCGACAAATTACACAACAAAACGATGCATATTTAACCCAAATCGGACATTCCGAACGATGTTAAATAAAGTCCTGCAGTTCATATAAAAATAATGGATTTCTTTTTCCCCAACCTAATATTAAATTGCTCCTAACATGGTGGAAACACGTGTTCAAGGTTCCCAAAATACCAATCTTTAGGGTTTAGATTTATATGGGGCTATCTCTATAAACATTTGCCATTATATGAGGGCTACCCCGAAACATAAGCCAATATTGATCATTTTTCGTTAGCAGATCTGATAGCCAAAGTGAAATCAAAATACCAAATTATTTTGTAAAAAAGGGGTTTAAAACTACCAAAATACCCAATAACGGAGGGCTACCCATTTATATGGATGATACCCAAAAAAGTGAACCAATATTGATCATTTTCGGAGAGGGAGATTCGATGAGAACCAAACGTAGCAGATTACAGCCAATTAGGTTGAAAAACATGTCAAAAATTTCCATTATAACGTTATATGCAATACCATCCATCATAGGAGTAATGACAATGCCAGTGCTATTATTATTACCATCTGTAATTTTTGAGACCCCAAAAGTGGAAACGTTCATTTTGATTTCATTTCATTTCCATTAAATTAACATACATTGTGTACTACTTTTTAATCAAAGCTTTGGTATCAAAATTCTATTCACAATGGCACGCTGTACTAGTATGAAACATTACGAAAGCTCTAGTTAAGCTTAAAATCCACAGCTGTTAATTTGCAACGGATTTTTAAAACAGTGCTACGTTGGCAAAATATTATCTTATTTTGTATCATTTAATTCATTCAAATTTCATTAAAATGAAACTTTATATTGGTCATTTTTTTACTTATTTTTTTAGTGTAAAAAATTAAAAAAAAAATATTTTATATTTTAATTTGTAAAATTTTGCATTTCACTAAACGAAATCGACATTTGTTGACATGTTATTGGGATATTATGTTTTTGTTTTTTTTTTTGTTTTAAGTTATTGGCCCGCCTCCCGATTGTTTGTTTACTGTTAGCAATATTGTGGATGCCGGCTTTTCTCTGTTAAAATCCCACCCACTTTTCTCCGATTAATGTTATTCATTTACAGTTGATTTGTTTGTGGGGAAATGTTAACCGGAAGGAACTTCTACAGTGTGGAATCGAATAGTGCGATATAACAAAATGTAATTGAATTTTTTGAAAAAAAATCTCGAAAAATACATTTTCCTGATGTCAAACAATAAATGAATTATTATCACCTCAATAGTCCACACACTATAGAAAAAATAAATTGAAAGTTGTGAATTTTTTTTTACAAGATAAATTTTACTTTAATAAAAATCACAATCAGTCATTAATCTAACCGGAGGACATATTCAACAAATGTAATTGTTAAGTAGACACTATACCTAATTCTAAATCACCAATAATAAATACATACTAAACATGTGTCATATATTAGTTAATTGCTTTTATGGTTTTAATAATAATTTTGAAAATTGTATTAATAATTAAAAAACTACAAATATTTAGCTTCAAAATGTTTTTTATTTCACTGCAATACGATCAAAATCAGCAAAGTTATAGCCTTTTAAAAATCACCATTAAATTTCACATTACTTGATTCAATTTAAAGAAGTCTCTCTGTATTAAGAGCCTCCCAGAGAGTGGAATGTATTTCACAGTAGAAAAAAAAACAACGAACATGAACCCCAATGTATATTGCTTGTGTTTTTACATGTTGTTGTTATTGTTTACATTCTTGTGCTGTTAAGGATTGTTTGTGTAACAGTGGTAAGTTAGCTTTTTTGGGGAGTACTTACATGGCAATGCATTGTCAGTCTCGTAAGTTAACATTGAATTCATGGAGGTGTTGTTGTTGCTGGCTGCTGTTAATGGAGCTCTGTTAACCAAAAACAAAAATGTGTTTGCTGCTTTCCTAACAGCAAAGGATGACATGATTTAGTAGTAATTGTGCCGAGCGCGTGTTTAGATCGTTGTCGTTATTGGCAGAAGCCTTAAAGCAGTAAAAAGAGAAATAAATGAATGAAAAATTAATTTGAAAAATAAATAAAAGAAATATGTTTGTTTGGTGTTACGGTTAAGGCTTTTTGTCGGTCGGTTGTATGACGGTTAAACTTTGGAAAGTTAACAAGTGTAGAAAAACAATATTCTAATTGTTTGTTTTTGGGTGAAATTAAAATTGCAACGACGTTTCCAATTAGTGCAATAAATACTACATAAAGTTTGTTAATTGTTGTTGCGGCAAACATATTTGATAACAAAAAACGTGAATATAAATAACTGCAGCAGCAACCAGTGAAAGTAGTTTGAAAAAAACCTCTTGGAAAATTTGTGTATGAATACAATATTGCATTTTTTGTTGTAAATTGTTTTGTGTTGGGGTTATGAGCGTTAGTTTTTCATGTTTTTGCACGACTTGCCTGCTGTCTACCTACATGGTTGTTTGTTGTTGTTCTTCTTCATGAGTGTGCATCGCCTGGGAGTTTTGTATGGTGAGAAAAAAGACAACAAACTTT